AAATACATAAATCAGACGTTAAAAGAGTTGAAGAGCCAAATAGATGACTCCACACTCATAGTGGGAGACTTTAAAAATGTTTGAAATGGCAAATGTTTTGTTATATACATTTCATCACAATAAAAAGTTTTAAAAGTAATATTCCCTTGATATACCTATATCAAGAATGAAAACTCCACAGTTAAATCTGATAAGCAACAAAGAGAGATGCAATTTTACTTATTAGATTACACACTAGTAATAAAAACATTACGTAGTGCTTAGCATGCACCAGGTACTTTTCTAAAATGATGACTCACTTAATTCTTGCAATGTCCCTATGAGATAAGGACTATTATTATTACCATCTTCATTTTATAGATGAGGAAACGGAAGCACAGGACAGGTAGGTAACCTTGCCCTAGGTTACAAAGTAAGCAGTAGATGAGCCAGGATTCAAGTCTAGGCAGTTTGGCTCCTGTGAATCCCATATACTACTGCCACAGTACTACCACTTGGTGTTAGCATACTGAACTGAAGCAACAGCAGCCTTTTAAAGGAAGGAAAGGGACTTGCATTTACCGAGGGACTTCTGGGGCACTCTGGTAGCACAGTGCCTAAGGCACTTGACTGCTAACCAGAAGGCTGGTGGTTCAAACCCACCAGCCACTCCTTGGAAGGAAGGTTGGGCAATCTACTTCCATAGTGATACTGCCTCAGAAACCCAAGGAGGGGTCACTATGAGTCGGGGCCGACTCAATGGCACATAACAACAACGAGGGACTTCTATGTGCTAAACACCTCTGATTACATTTCTAATTTAACATGAGAGGTGAATAAACTTTTTAGGGAACAAAATATACAACATTTTGAAGTAACTAAATTTTTTTTTTTTTTAATGAAACATACCTGTTTATTAAACTCCCATATACAACCCCAACAGAGCCTTTAAAGTACTCAGGAGGAAGATGGGAAGATATCTGAAGGACTGGGGTGGGGGGAATGTTTAGGCTATCTAGTGCTGCTGTAACAGAAATACCACAAGTGGATATCTTCAACAAACAGAAATTCATTCTCTCACAGTTTAGGAGCCTAGCAGTCTGAACTCAGGGTGCCAGTTCTAGGGGAAGGCACTCTCTGTCTGTTGGCTCGGGAAGAAAGTCCTTGTCCCTTTTGGACATATGTGGGCCTGGATTTCCCCAGAAATCATGTGTCTTGGTTTTCAAACGCAGGGACCCCAGGTCCAAAGAATGTGCTCCGCCCTCAACTCTCCTTTCCTGGTAGTAGTAAGGCTCCTCTGATCTCTGCTCACTTGTTTAATCTCTTTCATATTTCAAAAGAGATTGACTCAAGATACAACATAATCCTGTAGATTGTATCCTGCCTCATTAACATGACTGCCTCTAATCTTGCCTCATTAACATCACAGAGATTAAGATTTACAACATATAGGATAATTGCATCAGATCCCAACAGGGAGGTCAGTTACATAATACTGAGAATCACGGCTTAGCCAAGTTGACATATACTTTTTGGGGATATGACTCAATCCCTAACAGGGGGCGGGCTATTAGAAGTATACATTTTATTTTATTTATTGTGTATTGGGTGACAGTTTACAAAACAAATTAGTTTTCCATTCAACAATTTATACACATTTTGTTTTGTAACATTCGCTGCAATTATCTCAAGGTAACAGCACTCTTCCCACTTTCTCCCTGGCTTCACTATTTCCATTTGTCCTTCTTTCCTGCCCCTTCTTGCCCTCTGAGCTTTGTTTTTGGACAAATGCTACCCTTTTGGTCAGGTATGATTGATTATACTGAGAAGCACATTTCCTCCTGGTGTTACTACTCACTTTATAGACCTGTCTACTGTTTGGCTGAGAATTGATCTCTGGGGGTGGGTTCAGTTCCAGGCTTGAAGGATGTCTAAGGGCCCCAGTGTTGAGGGTTCCACCTATCTCTATCAGACCTGTAAGTCTGATCTTTTTCATGATTTTGAATTTTGTTCTATAGTTTATTTCCTCCCTCTCTGACCAGGGTCTTCTATTGTGAGCCTCATTAGAGCAGTCAGTATGAAGTGACTAATGTTTGCCAGAGAAGCTTTTGTCCAAATTTTTTAAAAAAACTGAAGAAAAATAATAACATTAGAGTAAACTTGGAAGTTAAAAGGATCAACTTCTAGATTCTTCATTAACAAAGAGCTCTTTCCAGCTATCCCCACGTGATCACACAATCAAACCATTATTAGAAAGGCTTCAGGGAAGAGACCACTAAATGTACTTTCTCCCTCTGCAAAAATCAGCCAAAGACAGCATTTGCTATAAAATTATCTGGATTTAATCACTATCAACATCAGAACCATAGTACATTAAAGTACAAAACCTGTATGTACAATTACACACACAAAAAAATGTTCTTTGTGAGGAGCAATTTTCAGCAAATCTGACAAACAGCAAGAGTCATTCCTATTTTGGGTTTGAAAGGAGAATGGAAATTTTCAAGATGCCCCCCCCCTTCTCCCTCTAGCTGCAGTGACCCTCAGAACATCAATTTGCAAAGGCCTATGGTAAGAAGGAGGTATTAATAATATCAGGCACTCATTCCTCCCCTCCTATGGAAGAGATGAATTTTTAGGAAACATTTCCCATCATCTATTACACTGATGTTCCATCCATCTGCATCATTAGGTTCAGTAGTTACCATGACAATATAATGCCTACAGCAATCTAACTTGATAGCCAGATGCCAGAATGTGAAAAAATAGGACCAGCTAAGAAAGTGAGAGAAATATAATTAATCTGAAACACACAGAAAATGTGCACAAAACTAAGACCAAGAGGGAAACTGCTGAAATGTCAATGAAGAGGAAATTATGAAAGGAAGCTTCAGTATAAAAACTTTGCTAACTAGAGTTATGTACTGGTCTATAACAAAGGCTGAGGCAGAAGCCAAATGTTAATGTAGAAGAGTGCTCAGAGTGTTTTCTCCAGCCCTCAATAATTTCCTGCTGCAGAGCCCAGTGGTGTCATTGTTGATTCTGGTAGTGGTATTCTTAAGGCTCTGACTTTCCTGAGGACATCAAGCCACCAACCTAAGTGCTGAATCCATGGCATTCTGCATACTTCCACTCTACTTTATACCCAGTTTTTCCTTTTGGTAAAATAATGCCCATAGTTCTGAAACTCATCTTAAGAGACCAGATTGAATTGTGTCTTGGAAGACCCTGCCTCCTTGCCTTCTAAGCATTCAGTGGAGGCAACAGGCTAACATGACCCTCTTGTGGGCCAGTATATGGCAAAGAGACTGAGAGAAACATAACAGTTGCACTCCCAGGCTATAAGCCTGAAATGAGTGGGTATTCTCATCGTGGCTGGGTTGGATAGCGGCGCTGAGCTAGGCGATTTGGACGATTCAAGTTGGTAGTCATAGGGAGCTGGAAAAGAAGGCATAAGAATCACATGAGATTATGGTATGACTGGTTAGATTGAGCTAGTGCACCTGGAGAGTCCAGAACCCATCATCTGCAGTTGGTTTCCAACAGTTGTGTTCTAATTATCTACCTTCACCCAACACCTATGCCTCTCAAATATGATTAAAAGAAATCTGATTTTATGAAGAAAGGAATGACACATTAGAAGAGATAAGTCTATTCTAGGTCACTGAGGAGCAAGGAGTTTAGCTTCTCTCATAGTTCACAATGATACCCTCACTTCCAGTAGGGAGCAGTGGTACACCTAGACCCCTGATACCAACACCAACTGTATCTCTCAAGAGTCTCAAGGTAAAAGTCAAGAGCAATATTAAAAATATCTACATTTATTGAGGATTTTCTTTGTGCCAAGCTCTCCATGGATATTTTCCCATTTGATACTCTTAACTATCCTCTAAGGTCACTATTACCAACCCCATTTTATAGATGAACTGAGGCTTAGAAAGATCAAGTAATTGCTCAATAACTCAGATATAGTAAGGGGTTACCTGAGATTATAAACTCAGACCTCCTTCATTCAAAGCCTGTGCTCCTAACTCCTCCACGTCAACATTTTCTTACCTGAGGAACCTGAGATGGGTTGTAGAGAGGAACAGCCCCTTTCAAGGGGGGTGGAGGAAGCAGAACACCAGGGTTAGAGCAGAGCTCAGAGGAAACACCCTATGATGAAAAATAACACAAAATCACATCCATCACAATAATCAGCTTCCCAGATTCAAGAATGTTGTAGCCTTCCCTGAACATCCACTTTGCTCATGAGAAGCAAGTAGGAAGGGTTTTTTGATAGAACTTAGGGAATTTCAAGCAAACAAATATGGTTAAAGAAGGTACAACCAACCCCTGGGGCTGACGTGGCAATGCTGAGTCTAAGGTGTTACCAACGTGGAGCAAGTACAAAGGAAAAACCATAAAGCATCATACTGATATCATCATAAAAAATAATAACACATTATTTGAAAGGCCTAAAACACTACACAAGTGCTCTAACCAGAAAAAATCAAAATGTTTTCATGACAACAGGCATAAAATTCACATGGATGTACACAATTCATCAAAAATTTATTCCAGCCTTTGCCAAGGATGAATGTCCCTGGGTGGCACAAACAGTTTGTGCTTGACTATTAACATAAAGGTTGGCAGTTTGACTCTACCTAATGGTGCCACAGAAGAAAGTCCTGGCGAGCCACATTTGGGTTTGAACTGCCAACCTTCTGGTTAGCAGTCAAATGCCTTAGGCACTATGCCACCAGAGCTCCCTCTACAAAGATCACAGCCAACAAAACCCTATGGAGCAGTTCAGTGGGTCACCATGAGTCAGACTCAACTCAATGGCAATAAGTTTGGGTGTATTTGTTTTGTTTTGACAAGTACATGGGTAAATTCTGGCTCCCATGGCAACAGAGGAAAAGATGGTTCTCTAGGCTTCCCCTAAGGAAGCTTTCCCCATATTTCCCATTAATCAGTTGCTCACAGTGGTATCTTGAGTCCACACTGAAAGTTCAGTCCTCACACACGGCAGCCACCTGTTGGGGTCCCTAGGCTCCAACCTGTGGGCTGCTCACCTGAGACCCCTGCAAGCCTCCAGTCCTGGTCCCCTCAGCATTTCCTCCACTGGACATGGATCCTTGGCCTCCACCACCACCTAGAAAGCAACATAGCTGTTTCCCTTGCTCAGGCCTGAGGAGTCCCCATGCCCAGAAAGCACTCCATCCTCTCTGGAATGCTTAGGCCCACAGACAGCCCAGCAGGACAGGAGGTTGGCAGTACCTGTGCCCTGGGAGAAGTTGCTGGTGCCCTGCAGAGTTTGGGGCCCAGGGGGCAGAGTCAGGGAGAGGCTTGGGCCAGCCTGGGGAGGAGAAGATGCTCTGGGGGTCTCCTGTAAAGGGGACAGTCTGAATTTAGAATACTTTGTGGAAAAAAGAAAGTCAGTATTTGGTGGTTAAGAACTCATTCTGCTGCATCCACATTAGTGTCTCTGCCGGCAACCTGCCTCTGTCTGTAAAACACACTTTCCTTGTGCCACTCATTTGCTCAAAATCCAATTTAGCTCCCTATTGCTGGCACTCTAAAGTTAAAATTCTCCATCCTAACTTTTAAGGCCTTTAATAATCTGCCTTTGCTCTTGCTGGACCAATTTATTTACCATACCCTTCCACTGCAAAACCTCTATTTCATTCGGACCAGGGTAGAGCAAGGGCCTTCCAAGGTGCTGAGGAATTTTCTCTGAAAGAAAGGCCCACAGATGGGGAAGCATTCTGCCCCCAGCTCCACTGGAGATTACCTCAGAGTCTGGACTGTCAGATGAGTCTTCATCTCCAGAGAGGGATGAATTACTGGTAGGCTTTGATCGAAACCAGCCAAACCATCTGAATCTGGAGCTCTAGAAGGGGAAGGAGAATTTTAATTCCAGGTTTGCTTCTCCCTGATGAATATGAGATTAGCCCACCCCAAAGTGACACTGGTGAGAAGACAGAAGGGACACAACCAAAAGCCAGATTCCCATCTCTGCTCCACTTGGGAAGGGAAGAAGAGGGAAGTCCGGGGAGTGGAGGATGGAAAGAGAAAAAGGGATGAGAAGGGAAGGAAAGGAAATAATAGGAAAAGGGAAAGGAACAATGAGATGGAAGAACAATTCCACGCACCTTGGCATTCTCTGTCACATCTCCTAGCTTTTCTCTCTGTGCATTATTTTGGAAAGATTTTTCATCTGCCTCATGACAGAACTCATCCTCATCCTCTTTGACTGAAATGGTGGAGCTCTCAGAAATGGTTCGTGCCCTGGGAACCAGTGGAGTCTGGAATTAAAGAAAAGCACTAACATTTGTATAGCCTCTGACAGGTTATAAAGGCACATTTGCATATACTCCATCATCTGATAATAAATCTTGATAAATCAGTGGGACAGTCTAAAGATATTATAGCTTACTGATAAGGAAGTTAGGCTTAGATGTGAAAAATGATTTGCTGGAGGTCTCAAAACAAAGCCAGAGCCCAAACCCAGTTATTAAAGTATCCCTAATCCTATGGAGTTTTGTGTGCTGTGCGATCTCTACAGAAAACTAAAGTTCCCAGAACTGTGCCAAGCCTGGAGCAGGGAAATGGAATGCTACTGCTATAGATTAAGAGGGTCAAGGAACATCTCCCCAGGGACCCACAAACCCAAAAAGACAGAAACTGTAACAACTAGTGGATCAAATTCATCTCAGAGCTCAAGACCTAATTGACTTGCTCAAGATCAACCATGAACATATGCACCAGGAGTGAAATATGCCTGCACATCTTTATATTTACAGTCAAGAAAAGCATAATTTGTACAGCCTTTGGAAAGTACTTGGGTAATACACAAAAAAGGCTTTATTTTTTTTTATTCTAATTAATACAATATTTACTATGTGCCAGCCCTGTTGTAAGTGCTTAATACACAGTAATTCATATAATCCTCATAACAATCCTATAATGTAGGTGTTATTTTTTTTATCATCAAGGATGATGGAAATTGTTTCTGCTTGGCTACAAATACAAAAGTTGGAGGTTTGAACCCACCCAGTGGCACCATGCAAGAAAGGCCAGCCAATAAAATCCTATGGATCAGTTCTCTATAACACATGGAGTCACATGAGTCAGAACTGACTCAACAGCAATGGGTTTGAGGTTTGGTTTCATTATTATTTCATTTTACTATGAGAAAACTGGGAGCTCTGGTGGCATAGTGCCTAAGGCATTTGATTGCTAAACAGAAGGCTGGCAGTTCAAACCCACCAGCCACTCCTCAGAAAGAAGGTTGGGCAATCTACTTCAGTAGTGATACCACCTTGGAAACCCAAAGAGGGGTTGCTATGAGTCAGATCTGACTTGACGGCAAACACAACAACAACAACAACAATGAGAAAACTAAGTCACAGAAAGGTTAAGCAATCTGTCTAAGGTCACATAGCTAGTAAATGGCAGATCCAGGATTCAAACCTAAACAGTCTGGCTCTCCTTCTAGGAATTTCTTCTAATTAAATAATTCAAAACACAGGCAGCTGTTTATATAGTAGGATGCCCATCACTGTGTTTTATATATTAGTAAAAGAAGGGAAGGAAGGAAAGAGGAAGGAGAGAAAGAAAGAAAGGAAGCAAAGAAGAAGCAGGAGGAGAAGGGAGAAGGGAGGAAAAAGAAATAGAAGAAGACAAGGAAAGTGAAAGACTCTAATCTCTGACAATGTGGGTCCTTAGAGTGGCCTACTTTGCTATCTCTCTGGCTGACCTTGTTTCTTAGCACTCTCTCCTATTGTTCCCTGCTTTTTCCATAAACTGATTCCTTTGCTCTTGCTCAAGCCTCTACCTAGAACACCTGTTCCCCAGCACAGCTCATCTCCATGCTGCATTCTGATCTCTGCCCAAAGACTTTCTCCGTGAGCCTTTCCTTGGCCGGGCTAGCTAAAGTAAAATCCCTCATGTGGACATTTGTTTGTTTTCATTCACCTCCACTAGATGCAAGCACCATGAGGGGATGCTTTGTCTGGTTCACAGTGCCTAGAACTTAAATATTTGAGAATGAATGAGTGAATGAATTTCATGTGGTGGATTTTGTCATGCCAATACTAAAATTCATATTTGTAAGTAACAGAAAATCTCATTGTATAATGTTAAGTAACAAATAGGAAATAAAACTTGATACACAATAATCTTAATCACTTAACTATATATACACACATAAAAGGACATATGGAAAAAGCATTAGAAGAAAACAATCAAAACATTTGACTGGGATTTACAGTGATCTTTGTTTGATTCTTTATATAATACTTTTATTTTCCAATTTGTTTATAACAGTAATGTACTATATTTTTATTCAAAAAAAAAATAAAAGGGAAAGAATAAAAATGTTATAAGGCTGATAGCCCCATTACTACTAAAAAAAATTGCATGCTGTAGCCTGCCAACCAGGCAAAGCTGGAGAACATTTTAAATTTGGGAGCCAATATGGTCCACAGTGAAGGGAAAAGAGTGTATTGATTCAACAACTAGACAGAATAATTAACTAGACCTGGTCACTTCTGGAAGCTTCCAGCATAACTGAGAAGCTATCACAGATGCCATAGATCCTTCTTGGGAATAAAGCAAGGTAAAAATTAAAACAAAGAAATGAATCTCCAAGGTTTTCCCATGACAAGAGGAGTATGGCATTTGGTGCTACAAAAAGACGAGCAGGATGTCAGAAGGAGCAGAGATCTGAGAGCACAGTAAACCAAGAACAGCTCTGCTGCCCACTCCCCACAGTGCCACACTGTGGCTGGACTGTGTATAAACAGGAACACATCCCCTGCCCAAAATCCAAGGATGTGCCATAGAGTGAAACGAGAGCCATGAGGTAGAGAGAGCCCATACAAGGGGTTTGCATATGGCTAGGAGCTCTGGTAGCATAGTGGCTAAGGCACTTGACTGCTAACCAGAAGGCTGGAGGTTCAAACCCACCAGCCACTCCTCGGAAGGAAGGTTGGGCAATCCTACTTCCGTAGTGATACTGCCTCGGAAACCCAAGGAGGGGTCGCTATGAGTCGGGGCTGACTCGACGGCAAATAACAACAACAAGAAACTCAAGTGACTGGTAAAAAAACAGAAGCATTTAGGGTGGCATCCAGATCTTGTACTGCTTTGTCCTCCCACCTGTGGTGCGGAAATGAGCTTTTGATCATCAGGTTGCTGGAAGGGTTCTTGAGACATGGTGTTCTCTCCTGTGCATAAAACAGAAACAGCAATTTGAAGTTGTGCTTCTTCCGCTCGTTCTAAAGAATGGTGATGGGGACCAAATAGGATTTCCTAACCACAGGTGGAGTTCAGAGCCCATGACCCAAAGGGAATCACATTGAATAAGAAGTCAGCTTGCATGGCTCCTCTCAGTTCCAACCACTCCCGTGACACTCCTCATCCAACCTCTATTTCCAAACACCAATGTCATTGTTTCACATTTTGGAAGTCGGAACAACATCAAACTACTCACAGGGATTCTCTACTCCCTTCCCTTCAGTCTGAATCTCCCATTTGGACAGGACCTCATCTTGAAGTCTAACCCTTCTATTTGGTTTCCAGCACTTCCTGGGCATCACTCATTCCCTGTGGTCCCAGGTCTGATGGGCCAGGAGAAAATGAGAACCGAGGACAGAATCCCAGCCTCTGCCAGTAGTCCATGACAATAACCTGATGGATGCAGGACAACTTCAGAAAAAGGACTTGCCTACACTACAATGCATTTGCTGAAAATCTGCAGGTAAGACTAAGTTCTAGAAAAGGGCATCATTTTTGGTAAAGTAGAGGGTTAGTGAAAATGAGGGAAAACCTCCATAAGATGGATGAGTTGATACAACAGCTGCAACAGTGGACTCAAACACAGCAACAAATGTGAGAATGGGCAACGTTTTGTTCTGTTATACAAAAGGCCGCCATGAGTCAGAGCTGACTTGACAGCAATTAACACCACCACCACCACATGCATGCAAGGCACAGGTAGCATTTTTTTTCACCCTGCAGCCTCTCTCCTAGAAACTCTATCAGCCAAGGGCAGGTGCAGGAATGGCTGCCATTTGTTTGCCATGCTTGTCCCAGTAGAGCCTGGACATTCCCACAGACTAGACTGCAAGATAGCAATCTCCTTTGGATGTATGCAAAGTACCAGCACAGTGATTAATGTATAGCAGGCCATCCATGACATGCACACCACACCCACCCCCATTCATGTCTTGACCAGCCCCAACTCTACATCCTCTAAATGGTCCCTGCACCTCCCTCATCCAAGGCTTCCATCCCAGCCAGCATGTCTTACCAAGGGGTGGGTGTGCCTGCAGGGTTTCTTCCCCAGCCTTTGCTCCAGGAGCTGCTGTCACTGCTACACTGCTGCCAGTCCCTGATGGATGGGTCTCAGGAACCGAATACAGTGGCACAGGTGCCCCCATCTGCCCTGCATCTCCTCCTGCTGGGTAAGAGCCCAGCTGCAGGGAAAAGGGCTGTTGCAGGCTAGGCTGGCTCAGGACTGTCTGTTCCAAACTTGGCCATGGGGCTGAGCGGTACCCAAGGTGCTCTGAGTAGCCTTGATATCCTGTAAGATCCTGGTAGAAAGTGTTTTCTAAAGCAAAGGGCAAAGAGGAAGAATGGAGACTTGAAATGCAGCATCTGCATAGACACAAAGAACATTCTTGCCCATGTCCTCTTTGGAAAGCAGTCACAGAACAGATGTGGTTTCCACTAATGTGATGACAGGTAAACCACAGCAGTGATCACAAAACCTCTCACTGCTCATCACTAAGAGTTCACAAAACATCTCCCTCTCTACCTTATATGATCTTGGAGGCTTAAACCAGTGAGCTAGAAGGAGAGAGATCACAATCTCATCTAAAACGAAAAACAAAACTCACTGCCATCAAGTCCAGTCTGACTCATAGCAACCCCTGCTGGGTTTCCGAGGCGGTAAATCTTTACAGAAATAGATTGCCTTCTCTTCCTTCCATGGAGTGGCTGGTGGGTTTGAACTGCCAAACTTCTGGTTAGCAGTCAAATGTCTTAGGCACCACAGCATCCCATCTAAAGCCACACCTCTTTTATTTTCAGATACACTTTGCCCTCTGTGGAAATGACAGTTCTGCACTCAAAGAAACAGAGAGTGTTTTCAATGGAAGGGACTTTGGTGATCATCAATTCTGGCTCTGCCATTTTGCTGATAAGATAAACTAAGGTAGGAAGTTCCTGGGAGGTGCAAACAGCTAACACACTGGCCTGCTAACAAAAGGATTGGAGGTTCAAGTCCACCCAGAGGTACCTCGGAAGAAAGGTCTGATGATCTGTTGTTGTTGTTGTTGTTGTTAGGTGCCGTTGAGTCGTTTCTGACTCATAGCGACCCCATGCACAGCAGAACGAAACACTGCCCGATCCCGTGCCAGCTCCACGATCCCTGCTAT